AAATTATCAAGGGCTCATGAGGGAGGGGGGAGCGGGGAGGGAGGCGGGGAAAATGAGGACCTGATGCCGGGGGCTTACGTGGAGAGCAAATGTTTTGAGAATGATGAAGGCAATGAAGGTACAAATGTGCTTTACACAATTGATGTATGTATGGACTGTGATAAAAGTTGCATGAGCCCCTAATAAAAAAATTAAAAGAAAAAAAAAAGAATTGAATGTCCAGGATACATAAAGAACTCTTATAACCTAACAACAAAAAGGTAACCCAATTAAAACAGGGTCAAAGAACTTAAGTAGACATATCAGCAAGGAATAAGTGTGTGTGTTTCTAACAAGCACTCGCTTAAAAAATGCTCAACACTAGTCATTAGGAAAATGAAAATCAAAAGTATGATTAGATACCGCTTTTCTCACACTAGGATGACTGTGAGAATGAAACAGAGGAAAACAACAAATGTTGGTGAGGACATACAGAAACTGGAACCCTCACCCACTGCTGCTGAGATTGGCATTTGGCGCAGCCACTGTGGGAACTGGCTTAGTGGTTCCTTTGAAAGATAGTCATACAATCACCCTCTGACCCAGCGATCCCGCTCCTCGGCACATACCCAAAAGAGTTCAAAGCAGGAATGCAAACAGATACGTATATGCAGTGTCCGTTGCAGTACCACTCACGGGAGCCCAAAGGCAGAAGCAACCTAAATGCCCCTCAATCCATGAAAGGATAAGCAAAGCCCAGGACCCACTTACAACAGACTACTACTCAGTAAGAAGAGCAACGATGTGCTGCCCCATGGATCAACTGGAAGACGTCATGCCAAGTGAAAGAAGTCCATGCAAAGGGACAAACTTTCCATGACCCCTCTTAGAGGAGGGGACTGCAAAAATTTTGTGAAGAACTGGAATTAAAAGCTAATGGAATCTTCCCATGAACTTTTGAAGCGCCCCTTGCATGAAATGTCTAAACTAGGCAAGTTTTAGGGGCGACCAGGGTAAAGTAGGGAGGGAAAAGAATTCACTGCTTGATGAGCACTGAGCTTGTTAAGCATGTGGAGAGAATTTGGGAAGAGATAGTGGCAACAACTTTGTTACGTATAAATTTACTGTGATGTAGGGGTTAGGTGCCAGTGAGTCTGTTTCAACCCAGAGCAATCCTTTGCCCAACCGAACAAAATGCTCCCCTGTTTACCATTTGGAAGGGGGAACAAAGCAATCGGTGGGTAGTCAGCTCACTGGGAGGCTGGAGGTACCAAAGGGCCTAGGTGCTGATCCTCCAATCATTACCAAGAGTTGTACCCATTGCAGTACAGCACCAATGAAACATACAACTTTCCTCTAGTTCTTTAATGCTTCCTCCCCAATGACTATCGTGATCCCAATTCTACCTTACAAATCCAGCTCGACCAGAGGATGTACACTGGTACAGATAAGAGCTCTCGGACATGGAATCCAGGACAGATAAACCTCTCGGGAACAGTAATGGGAGTATCACTACCAGGAGGGTAAGGGGATGGTGTGTGTGGGGGGTGGGGAGAGGAACCAATCACAATGATCTACATATAACCCCCTCCCAGGGGGATGGGCAACATAAAAGTGGGTAAAGGGAGACATCGGTCAGTATCAGACATGAAAAAATAAGAATAATTTATAAATTATCAAGGGTTCATGAGGGAGGAAGAGAAACAATGAGGAGCTGCTACCAAGGGCTCAAGTAGAAAGCAAATGTTTTGAGAATGATGATGGCAACACATGTACAAATGTGCTTGACACAATGGATGGGTGTATAGATTATGATGAGTTGCACGAGCCCCCAATAAACTGATTTTTTAACCTTAGTTGTACCCATATCTCTGAGGCTTCCTGATGGCTGGCCCGAGAGCCAGACAGCCATGGAGGGCTGCAATGCACCCGCTACGTGGAAGGCCCAGTTCTGCACAGCAGCCAGGCTGCCTGGGGACCTTGCCGTGAGACCAGTCGGTTGAATATTTGAAAGCGTGCGCTAAGTAAAATAAACCAGACACAACGTGACAAATATTATATGATCCCACTTAATTTGGAAAAAAAAGCTAGACTACGCAAATGCTAGGGACCGAAAGTAAACCACTAGTTGCGAGAGGCTGACAGGCTCGCCGGGTGTTGCTTAACGGGTGCTGAGTTGCTTTTGGAAGTGACGAAAAAGTTCTGGAAAGAATCAGTGGCCATGATTGCCCAACAATATGAATATAATTAGTGCCACTGAACTGAACATTTAAAGCAAGTTTCCTTCATGTATATTTTACCATAACTACCACCCCAACAACAAAACAAAAACAAAATTAAAAATCAGGAGGACCCCACAACCAGGTTTCTTTAAATGAGCATAAGCCCTTCAAATCCATCAGAAGACAACAACCACACAAAAGGGGTACAGGCTTCCCCAACAGGTTAGAGTCTGAACACCATTCTGACTCCTGACTGTGGCTTTCTGACCCCCACTGAGCACCTCTGACTCACCCCACTCCGCCCGCCCCCCTGAGCTGCTTCACCAAATGGAAAATAGGAGAAATAAACTCTTACAGGACCGACATCAGGATCCAATGAGATCCCACAGCTAATAAGGATGGACTCACTACGTCTGGTAAGGATGGACTGGCTAGAGAGGCCTGGCCCACCATGGGCTGACAAATGTCAAACTCCACCCAACAGGCTCCTGACACCACTCAGCCGGCTGACCGGGTATTTGGGCAACGAGAAACTCATTTTTGATCGGCAGGCGGTGGTCGTGTCTGCCTTGCTTCACAAAGGAAGGCCTAGGAAAATGTTGAGGATCAATCAAGCTTGGGTCAAGTGGTTTCTTTTAAATACTGTCAGTTACTACTATTCAGAGCAGTTATTTATGTTCTCTAAAGCCTATGAGATGCTGAATTCGTGAATATATAGTCATTGTTCCAGAGGGGAAATAAAGTTAAACCCACCCAAACCCACTGCTACAGAGTTGATTCTAATGCATCCCACTGCCAAAGAGTTGATTGATACCCTATCTAGGGTTCTAAAGATTTGAAATCTTGACAGGGGCAGACTTCCTCTCTCTCCCAAGGAGCAGCTGGGAGGGTTACAGTCAGCAGCCTCAGACTGATCCCACAGCGCCACCAGGCTCCTTCTTGTGGCCACAACACCTTCACCACCCAACCAATGTACCACCGCGTTTTGTGTGCGTTTCTGTCTGGAGATAGGTTATGGAATCTGTATTGTTGACTTATTAGCCTTGAACTCACAGCACTAGCACCAGAACCCATGCCGAAGCAAAGCTTCACACACACGTATGTAAACATATTTCCCCCACAAAGCACATCACACTGGTCTTGAGCTTTGGAACACTACCCAGCTGTCAGCACTGGGTTTGTTGCCATTTTAAACATCAACTCACCCACCAAAAGGGAAGGACAAAATACATACACGATACACAAAGGGGACATTCAATAGACCACAGCAAAAGCACGCATGCACAATGTGGAGCTGCAGCAAGACGACGGAGGAGCATGGCCTGGTTGCACCCCAGCTGGGAACAGGCAGGGGAAGCATCTCAAATGTTTGATGGCCTTCACCTGCCCCTGAACGAGCATCACAGCCTCCCGGAGTCTTGGGGATGACAAGCAAATGCTCGCAGGTGGGCAAATCCCCAGATGCGGAGATTGCTCATAATGAGGAAGGACTGTGTCAAAGATGCCAGCTATGCAAAGCAACCATGCAAGAGAAATACAAAGGAACCCTTCATGAGGTGAGATAACTCACCCAAAATGCTTTTTGTACATTTAGATTTTTTTTTTAAAGCGGGACTTTTTTTCCACTTACTGAGTTTTTAATTCAAGTTTAAAATGAAGCATAAAAAATTAAATGACAAAGAACTACACATACAAGGAATTTCACGTTCTTTTCACTACCGACTCCCAGTTCTCCTTTCCAAAAGCAATCTCAACAAATAGGCGCTGCTTTTTTATTTTTCAAAAAAGACTATGTGGATACACGCTACTTTTCCTGCCCGCAGGGCTTTTCCTGAGGCAAAGTAGATGTGTTTTAAAGCGATGCCAAGTCCAGCAAAGAGATGGCGCCCTTCATCCGATACCGATACTACCAGCTCACACCTTGGGTTTCTAAGGTCACCCCCAGAGACACTGCACAGCAAGAGGGCACATTAGCAGAGATGAGGGGCCTTGAGAGCCCCGGCACGGGTGGGGGGGGGTGTCCAGCCACCCTCACTGGCCTTGTGGATCCGACGGGCGTGCAGGCCTTACCCAGAGAAGTTAATATGGTCTGGTGCGGAGACACAATCACGGGAATCGGCTCCTCTTCTTTTTCTGAGAGGGATACAAGGGAAAGAGAGCCGGTGAGCAGAGCTCTACGGCCAAGATGCTGTTCAAGCGCCACTGCTGAGATAATGAATTCGTTCCCGCCACAGAGCGCCAGACGCGGAGAGAGTTAGCCTTTGGCTGAGACCGTGGGACATATCTTGCCAATGCCTTTCCCAGGCGAGAGATTACGGGAAGAGGTCACAGAAAAACACACATTCCCTGATAGACATGCTCTGCTCGCAACAAAACAATAAGCCACCCTCCCCCTAGCCTTCCTGAGGGCATTTATAATAGCAACAGCTGCCACATAGTATGGATTACCCAAGGTTAACTTGCCCTAAGGTACCTCCCACTCCCAAGTGCCTCTCCGCAGTCTTTTTCTTGGGGACAAAAATGGGCACAAGGAACTCAAAGTCTACCAGTTCATAAAGGTAAGCCCGCACTGGATGGCAGAGTATTGACCACTCATGTCTTCCTTAGTTGGTGAGATCAAAGATTTTAGGAAGTAGACGTGGACTTCCAAGGAATTGGAACCCGGGCTCCCGGCGGCTCAAAGGAACCGGCTCCTGAAATGGGGCGCCAACAGAACATTTGGGGAGAGTCTGTGTCCACAAATTCTTCCACTCTTCCACTTCACTTCTTCCCCTCGAGAGCATGTGGAAATCATCATATAAATAGACATTAAGCAATATGACAGTGTGACCCAGGAGGCACAAAACCTTGCAGTCTCATGACTGAGACCTCCTGAGCAGTCACTTTGCAACCATCCCCAGCCAAGAGCTCCCAGTCCCCCTCAGACAAAGGGTGACTCAAGGACAAGATTCAAGAGTGATTCTCAAACTTGATCTTGCATCAGAAGCCCTTAGAAGGCTTATTAAAAACATATTGCTGTCCCCCAGGCTCTACTCCTCCATCCCAGAATGAATGATTCGGTAGGGCTGGGGTGCAGCCAGAGATGTTGTGAGCCTGCTGGGGCAGCTGGCCCTTTCAGAATCCCTGAGATGCAGTATCCCTGAGATGCAGTATCCCTGAGATGCAGTACTATGTAAGTTGGCCGCCCCCTCCTGTTCCTGTGCAGTATTACACCAGCGGAGTACTTAATGGTGTCATTCAAGGTACAGCAAGCAAGTCTCTGGTACTGTAGGGACACGGAGGGGATATGAATGAGTCCTCCCAGGACATTACAATAAAAGTATACAGAGACATAATTTCATGGGAGGCATGATTTCCTGTAGAAAAACTGACTGTTGGCATTCCCTATGAGAGAAAGCTTAGTCTTGTCCCTTCAGACACCAACTATTTAACCCGAACAATGTGTTTCCAAAGTTCTCAGAGGTTCCCTTAAAAGACTCTAATTGTATTAGCTATTCACACTCAGGAATTTTCTTTTTAAAAAATTTAAGTTTTATTGACATATAATTCATATTTATATTTAAAAGAGTGGTGTGATCATCAGCATTATCAATGTGAGAACATTTTCTTCTTTCTTGTACTCATCATTTCCCTCCAGCCCCTCACCCCTGTCATAACCCTAAGAAACTACTCATCTAATTACTTTGTCTAGAGATTTATCTATCCTGGATTTCATATAAAGAAAAACATATCCCACCACAGCCCACCCCCACCCCCACCGCTCAAAATCCAACAGAGAAAAACCTTGGTTTTAAAGAAAGGTGAAAATTACAAAACCTAGAACAAATTTAAAATGGATCAAAAGAGGGGGAAATGATAAAATGTTAAAATTTAACCTAATTACGTTGGCTTTAATCCACTTTCCAATGCCCTCTGTCTGATAGCAAGGCTATTCACATCCCTGGTCAATGGCCAGAGGGGATTCACCCAAGGCTTAACCCATGAAGAGATGCTGCAAATGGATTCGGGGCTTCCACGGTCATCCATACCCCCCTTCAAACTGGGTACTGAGAACTTAAGTTCTAATGCAGTTCTCTCCTCTGGTCTTGGATTTTATTTTCAATCTTTGGATCGCACAGGCTGGTGTGCTTCTTCTGTGTGGACTTTGCTGACACCTCACTCAGCTAGCTGCTTATTTTGAGATGCCTTGAAGATTCCAGAAAGTATTCTTTCTGCTATCCAGGCAAAATCCACACTCAAGAATATTCCTAATTCATAAGGGCAGCAAACTTCCCTTGGCAGAGTCTAAGATTGAAACGTGTTTATGCCAACTCCATAAGGAGTCCTGGCAGTACACTGGGTTGGTGTTGGGCTGCTATGAGTTGGAGTTGACTTGATGGCAGCGAGTCAAGACCAACTCTTTCTAACTCCTAAGCAGAGAGCAGATATAGAGTAAATGCTACACAGACTTTGCTAGCCAAACCTGTTTACAATATTCCTTTCAAGTACAATTCATTTAAAGAAATGAGAACTTTCACTCTCAAAATGAAATCTTGCTATCAAGAGCCACTAATCACGGCTTGGGAACACAAAGCAGGGTGATATCCGCTGAACATGCCCATCCACAGCCTTCTGATGGGAAAGTAAAATGACATCCTGGAGTTATGCGTGCAGATCTGGCAACTACGTGCCGATTGCTGGTCCGATGGGTACATGTCCTCCAAACGGAGTTTCCAAAGGGGACTTCCATTCCCTCCAGTGGTATGTTTTAGTATTAGACGTGGAAACCTCTTGCAACATCTCAGAACTCACCTTTCCTCACAACACCCTGCTTTCTACTGCTCAGCGTGTCACACACATGTGCTGATTCACCTGATGTCTCGGGTGATTGACATATCTGTTTTTTCTTTACCCTTTGTACCAAAGACCCTCAAGAGATTCCTTGTGAACCTTAGCAGTCTTTTGCAGACTTATTGCTGCACCAGGATGAAACCAGGATTAAACGGTCTATCAGCGGCAAATACTTACGTTTGACTTGCAATTTAACAGTCCTTGTGATGTTGTATTGAGTGCCATTATGAGAGAATTCCATGCCACAGCGATAATAGCCAGAATCCACCACAGACACATTGTGTATTAATAAGTGAGTGGTTCCCTTCAAAGCTCTAAACTTTCCATTGTCATGATCCAGAAGAGCAGAATCCTTTAAAAAAAAAGGGGGGGGGTGTTTTGTTTTGTTTTGAAGTTATCCTATACTTCAATGATACATCAAAAGCTATGAATAATAGCATGATTGCTACCAAACAATATTGAATTTGTGACCCCAGAATTTTCTCTGGTATTTACTCTGCACAGCTCTACTTTGGATATACTTCTAACTACATTTTTATAGAGGGAGATTTATTACCATACAAAACAAAAATAGCACAAAGAATGACAAAGACAATCTCTTCTTGGACAAAGTAGGTCATTTCCAACCCAGTCTGTTCATGGCCTTCAAACAGCTCCCGGGAGGCCTTCGGAAACCTCGAGGGAAGAAAACGTCTGTGCATCGAGTCACAGGAACTTGCATGACAATATTCAGAAGAGGCAACATTGCAGCAATTAATTTGAAATCATTTTAATTTTCAGAGTCAATAGAGATAGAGACGTGTTTGTAAGAAGAAACGAACTGGAAGGAATGGGCCGTTTGTTTTCATCTGAACAAAGAGTTTTGTGAAGTGTCCACTAAAGAGAACTCTCGGGAGCACAGCTTCCCGTCAAATAGAAAAAGCCAAGTAAGAACTGATGAAGCACCCTCATGAGCACAAAATGTTCTCAGGAACATTGCGTTCCAAAACCGTAATGATCAGAAACTTGCATTACTCAAATATAGCCTGAGTCATTCCATAATCTAGCTCTGAATGACAATACAGACATAAAGAAACAGTCTGTTGGGCACATGACTCATAAACGACAACTTTACCCTGGCTTTAATTACAAGTAAAAATGGCATTGTTTCTAATCCATTGATGTCAAGCCTCTTCTGAGTCACCGTGACCCTACAGGAAAGAGCTGAATTGCCCCAGCGTTTCCAAGGCTGTCAATCTGCATGGACGCAGACTGCCACATCTTTCTCCAGAGGAGTGGCTGGTGGGTTTGAACGACTGACCCTGCGATTAAGGGTGCCACACTTACCCCGCGGGGCTCCTTCCAAAAAGCGAGCCAAACTCACTGCCACTGGGTTATTTCTGACTCCTGGTGACCTGCAAGGACAGAGTGGAACTGTCCCTTCAGTTTCTGAGGCTGTGCGTAGTCACTGAAACAGAAAGCCTCATTCTTCTTCTGCAGAGTGTCCGATGGATTCAAGCTGCTGACTCACTGCACCACCAGGACGCCTTGATGTTCTCACTACTGAGTGGCTCCTCATGGTCTAATGGTGTTCTCCTCAGGAGCCACTAAAACAGGTGTTTGTTGCTGCTCTTGTTGTTTAAGTTACAGTGTGTGGTCAGCCAGGCAAGGGGCTCCATTGTGTTTATATTAACTCCTTAAAACCAAAGGTTAATTACCATGGGCTTTCACAATAATATCCTTTAAATGAGGCTTAGGAAACATTAGGAAAGATGACTATTACATAAGCACAGGATTGGGCAACAGCATTCAAAAGAGATAACCTTGCAATAACTCGTTTTAAATCGCTTTTAATTTTAGAGGTCAATGGTGCTAGAGAAAATTTCTTCTCTCTACATTCGGAGTCAAGTCTGACTCACTGATGACCCACAGGTGCCAAGCAGACCTCCGCGAGGTGCTCAGTGTCACGACATTTCCGGAGCGGGTCACCCGGTCGGTTGTCTGAGGTGCCTCTGGAGAGATTTCAACCACCAGCCTTTTGACCACTAAGTTGAGCACTTAAACATTTGCACCCCTCAGGGCCTCCATTATGTGTATACTGTTGCTATAAAGACTGAGGAGTTGATATCAAGGGCTCAAATAGAAAGCAAATGTTTAGAAAATGATGAGGCAGCATATGTACAAATGTGCTTGACACAATGGATGAATGGATTGTGATAAGAGCTGTAAGAGCCCCCAATAACATGGTTTTTAAAAAGAGAGAGACTAACGTTTTTTCTAAATATTTATAGACCAAGCACAGAGTTAAAGACCTATTTCTTTTAGCAGTTATTTATTGTGGGTTCATTTTCTCACCTGTCTTCCCAAGCTGCATAATAGAATATATTAATCATGGCTCTTTTTAAATGAAGTGCTTATGAACATTCAGAAAGGCAAAAAGGAATATGTTCACTTAAGAAATAGGGATATCACGCTATCCTTCGGCAAATAAAACACTTATTAATGAAACGGCAACTTATAGCGATGTACCTTGTACCAGTGAATAGTGACGTCAGTTTTGCCCCGGATGAATGCTCCCAGCTCTGGGCAAACTATGATCCCCGAAGGTGACACCGTTAGAACCTGCGGGTAGGAGATGATTGGCAGCGATGCCTCCGTCTTCTCAAAGACATTGAGCTCAACAGACACTTCGTCGCAGTAGGAGGCATTACTGATCCAAAATAACAAGGCAAAAGAAAAATCAAATGAAATTTAAAATAAGCTCCCCAACCCCATTAAACTCTACAGTCTGCGTTTTGTTATCTGTATTGTGAGATTCCTGCTGAGCTCCGTGCGAGTTCTGGAAAGACAAAAAGGAAATAGCAGCAGGCACGTTCTGAGGGCGGTAGAGAAGCGATGGGTGTGTCCTGCGTTTCCTCCCGCCCACCTGTCGGCAGCACCTACGACAACCTCCTGATCCAAGTGGAAAGACTATTTTCCCAGGAAAATTGCCTTTACTGCTCCTGGGAATCATTTCTAACTACAATTTAACTTCAGAAAACTGCCGTAAACATAGTGCACATTCTATAAAGATTCTGCCAGACCGCGTGGGGGCAATGAACTTGGCACGTCTGTGATAGGCTGCTATTTGGTGGTGGTGGTGGGGATGGGGATTGTCATTATGTTGTTGGGCTGAGCTCACCATAAACTCAATGCCATATTTCTATCAAGATCCCCAAACTGCGAAAGGAGAGAGGGCCAAAACCAATCTGTAAGCATGGAGTAAAGGGAGAGAACAGGATATATAAGAATTTATGTCTATTTTTCAAGGTAGAGAAGCATACAGCATCATTATCACCGCTGTTCCTGGCTCAAGGGAGAAGTGTGTTACATACTGGAGGAATAAGCAACTTCCAGAGCAAAATAAGATACAAGGAATATCTAAAGAGGCAACCAAGTATGAACCCCAATGAGGAAAAGCATTGCTAAGGACTTACCACCCAAAAGTGAAAATAATTCATTCCGATATATGACTAATCCTTGCACATATCTGGTATAAGAATAAAGAAAAACGAACAGATGTTTTATACACAAAGACGTATCAAGTTTAACTATCTCCTTGAAAACAGGCACAATCCCCTTGCCTTTTGTCAGAGAAAGGCAACGATGAGGCTCAGAACAGCGAACGCTTGAAAAACAGCGACCCTAGAAACATGCATGGCTGGCGCTGCTGAGAGCATCCTATGCCTTATTTTGACACTAGGAGCTAGGCACTGCTGTTCTACCCCTTTCTGCGTGTGTCGTTTCCTAAAGCTGCACCAAGGCTCATACACAGTGAAACCTGGTAGGCCTCTGGGAAGACTCATGAATTAGGACATTATCTCTGGAAACCATGCTGATTGCATCTCACAAGGATTGCAAACCTTTTTTAAATAATTGAGGGAGTGATTTTCCTTGAGTAAAGCACTCCATGAAAATAAAATTAAAAAGCAGGACTGGGCAAGGAGGTATTTATCTGGCAGCCAGCCCTTGTTCCATGTAGGTGGCCACCCCCTAATAAAGAGCTGCTCACCCAATGTTTTCAGATGTTTTCTTTCCTGAGGGCCGGGTGGGATTGCCTACCCTGGCCCCATTGTAGGTGCATACCGTTATATGACTCATTTTATTCAATAGGTTGTGAATGGGTCACTTCTATACCAATGTTACAGTGCCCATGAGAAACCTCCAGGGTATGTTTCTTCCTGGTGCGGTAGCCAACAGCTTCTGAGGTCGTGGCTGGTCCTTCAGCCTGGCAGCCTGAGTGCTTGCCAACCCCTGATGGACATTAGCCTGAATGAGAAATAAACTGTTGCTGTTTAAAGACACTGTGATTTGGAATGTGTTTATTACAGAGCTCGGTCCCGCCTACTCTGGTTATAGAATACATGGCACAGGTGCTAGACCATGAAACCATCAACTCACAGGGACAAGACCATCTCATCCCCTATGACTATGATACCAAAGAGCATCATGATGATGCTGGCCATTATCCCTCTGCTAGAGCCCCACGTTTGAATGGCAGAGGGCCTGGGATGCCATTCAGGTAAATGCCTTCACATGCTAGAAAGCTTGGAACACATTGGGACTTCCATTCCCCCCTCAATTTCAGATCTCTTTATCCTGCAGCAATACAAAACAAAGGATATTAGTTTTATATATATTCTCATGCCTAGTGGAGTACACCGATGCCCTTTAAGACAAATATGACTCTATTCAAGTCTCCCTGAATTTTGCCTAATTATCAGCTCAGTGTTGTCTAAGTACTGTCTTTTGGGAAGCGGAGGACATTCCCTGGGGCCAAGCAGCCACCTAATGTGATGCTGCCCTTGTCAGGGGCTTGCTGTTGTGTGATTTCATGTAACCTTCCCAACAAGCCTCTTTCCAGCCCATCAATATCAAGTAGCAGATCAAATGGCTAAGATTCTAGCTCATGGCTTTTTTTTAACAATTTTTAAAAATAATTTTATTGGGGGCTCGTACAACTCTTATTACAATACATACATACATACATCTATTGTGTCAAGCACATTTGTACATTTGCTTCCCTCATCATCCTCAAAACATTTGCTTTCTACTTGAGCCCTTGGTATCAGCTCCTCATTTTCCCCTGGCTTTCTCATTCAAATTACATATATATATGTCACAACACTATGCTGCTTCCTGAAGCAAGACTCCTAGGAGGAAATATGAATTTTTCCACTGGAAAATAAAGAAAGCATGTATTTCTAGCAATTGTCAAATCAGACCACCAGGTTTCTCTGCATAAGAAAATAGGAGATTGCGTGCATGCTTCCTAGTCAGGGTTCACTGACAGACTGAACCTGTGCCTAAATTCATTATAATGGGGTGAGGCATTTAGGGTAATAGGTAACAAACTATGCATGTCACACACCCTGACTAGGACTGGGGCTGAGGTGGTCTAAAATTGTGCCACTCACCAACACTTCCTTGGTAATAAGAACATCCCTTTCTTTGGTTTTCTTTTTGATGGAAACATACAACTTTCCTCTAGTTCTTTAATGCTCCTCCCCCCCACTATCATGATTCCAATTCTACCTTACAAATCTGGCTAGACCAAAGCATGAACAACAGAAAAGTGAGTGAAGAGAGACATCAGTCAGTGTCAGACATGAAAAATTAATAATATATAAATTATCAAGGGTTCATGAGAGGGAGGGTGAGAGAGGGAGGGGAAAAACTGAGGAGCTGATACCAAGGGCTCAAATAGAAAGAAAATGTTTTAAAAATGCTGATGGCAACATCTGTACAAATGCGCTTGACACAATGGGTGGATGTATGGATTGTGATAAGAGCTGTAAGAGCCCCCAATAAAATGATTTTTAAAAGAAGAAGAAAGGAGGATAAAGGCTGCATCTACTGAGAGAATTCTCAGGAATTCTCTTTCACAAGTAGCCCAAGGGTCTGCCTCCATTCTTTTACAACTAAGAGCTCCCCTCCCGTACCAAGAAGAAGAAGAAGGTTATTGTTGCGTTCATTTGGGTTGCTGGAGACCCCCTCACATGTGTCAGGAGTAAACTGTGTCCCATAGAATTTTCAAGGGCTGCCTTTGGGGGCTATCGATCAACAGGTTTTTCTTCCAAATCTGCCCAGGCCTCTATTAACTATTTCATGTTAATCATTTGCACCACTCAGGAACTCTACAGGGAAGTGTTAAGGTAGCCAGTGCTAGGCCTGTATCTCTCACTTAAGAAGCAGGAGCAGGAGTCAGTGCCAGGAGATAAGAGGTCTAGTTCTAGACCCAGCTCCACCACCCACCATTTGAGAGAACTTAATTATAAGTGACTTCACTCCCCTTATCTGAGTGATAGGGCTGGTTGCCTTCATCCCTAAAGTCTCGATCTAAAGTTCTTTTCACATATTTCTTGTGTCTCCATCATTTGAACTCAGCAGTAAACAGAGTAGCCAAAGTTCCGGGCCTCCTGGGCTTTCTGTTTGGTGCTATACTGCACCCTGATTGGCTCATCTCTTCCTTGTGGCCCTTCTGTAAGGAGAGGTCCATAGTTCACAGGCAAATGTGAACTCTGTAAGCGCACATGCACATACCACAGGAAGAAAATTTAAAGCAGAGGCTGTGAAAAGGAATGTCTCCCCCCACTCCCCAAAGATATGTTGAAATCCTAACTCCATAGCTGTGGACATAGTCTTGTTTTTGAAACAAGGTATTGGAGATGCTAAGATTAGTTCTTTTTACATATTAATACCAATATTTTGCTTTCACTTTTGGAAAAAGTCAGCTATGTTAACCCGGTGATGAGTTGGGCTGCAAATGTCAGTGCCAACAGTTAGAGCATACCAGCTGCCCAGTAGGAGAAAGATGAGGCTTTCTACTCTCAAAGAATTACCGTCACACAGTCCCTCATGGAAGGGCCACAAGGAAGGGATGATAAATCCAGGGTGTGACGTGGCCCTGATGAACCACAGAACTATCCTCCTGTTCTTTAATACGTCCTCCCCTTACTATTAGGGTTTTTTTATGTGTTATACCTCATTAAGTGTGTTCGATTTTCATGTGCTCATTTGCATATTTAAGATCGTTTGGTACATGAAAGCCAAGATAGATAACCCTTCAGAAACAGTAACAGGAGTTACTGTTCCCTGAGGGTACAAGACAAGAGGAAGGGGAAAGGGGGGGAGGGGGAGCTGATAGCATGGATGATTGCATAATTCCACTCAATGGGATTGATTAACAGAATTATATGTGAATGGATATATTGTATTATGTAAGAGATGGGAAGAGGCAGAATAAGGGTTCATAAGGGGTGTGGAGGGGGAGGGAGGGGACAATGGGGAGCTAATATCAAGGAGTTCCAGTAAAAAGAAAATGTTTTGAGACTGATCGTGGTAGCAATTGTACAATACTGCTTGATGTGATTGAACTATGGAATGTTGTATATCTGTAAGAGCTCCCAATAAAATGATTAAATTTTTTTATAAAAAAAATAAAGAATTACAGTCACAGAAATCCACAGCGGCCGTTCTATCCTGTCCTACAGGGTCGCTGCGAGTCAGAATCAACTGGATAGCGGTGATGTTGACCTGTGGTAGAGCAGAGGAGGATGTGTCTAGATCCCATCGGAGCCGGGTCCTTATATAAGACGAGAGCAGACACAGAAGAGACGGACAGTGAAGATGCATCTAAAGAAGAGGAACAACCCGGAACACCAGGGCTACAAGAAGCTGGAAGAAATGGTTCTACCAACTCCTTGAATTTGACCTCCTAGCTTCCCAGACAGTGAGACAATGCATTTCTGCGGTTGGAAGCCACCCGAGGTGTGGTACTTGTGATAGAGGGACATCGGAGCTAGGGACGAGCATTTGAGAAAACTTGAGTGAAACGAATGGGGAGCCACAACACATCTGGGGAGGGGACCTCAAGTGGCAGGAACTTCAGAGACATAGGAGGGGACACGACTTGGATTCTCACCAGCGCACTGGATTTTGAAATCAAGCCCATCTCTGGGAGACTGAACAAGAGTCCATTCTGTGAGGGAATTCAACAGCCCCACTCTCCACGCTCAGCCCTAAGGGGCTTACCTGACCGTGCAGACGTAGGTACCAGAATCCATCTGTAAAGCCGGCAAAATCCAGAGGGCTTCATTCTGGATCCACATACGACTCGCTTCTCGCGGGACCATCCTTCCAGAAACATTTCTATGCCACCTCATGCTGAAGTCGGGGCTGGCCAATGGCGCCTGGGGGCATCTCAGGACCACAGGCTCCTCTTCTACTCTTGAGTATTTCTTGAAATACTTGCCACGAAATTGACATTTTCTTGCAGCAGCTGAAGAATAGAAAGATAGCAATCAGGCTTTGCCCCTCAAACAAAACCAAACGTGTCACCATCTCGTCGGTTCAGACCCACAGAGGCCCCATGTGCTACAGACTAGCGCTGCTCCGTGGGGTGTTCTTGGTGGTCCGCTGTGCCAAAGTAGATTGTCAGTACTTCCTTCCATGGAGCCTCTGGGGGGTTGGGGGGGGCAGTTTGAACCATCTATGTTTAGGTTATTCAAATTCACAGAGCCACACTCACTGTCACTGGGTCTATTCCTATTCATAGCAACCCTATAAGACAGAGTAGAACTGCCCCTGTGGCTTTCCGAGGCTGTAGCTCTTTCTGGGAGCCCAAAACCACATCTTTCTCCAGCAGAGTGGACAGCTGGTTTGCAGTTAGCAGCCCAACTGGTAACCTAGGACACCACCCAGCCTCCTTCGGCTGCCATGGAGTCGGTGCTGGCTCGTAGCGAGCCTGCGGACAGGGTAGAACTGCCCCGGTGGGTTTCGGAGACTGCAACTCCTTACTGGAGCAGAAATCCCCATCTTTCTCCTTTGGAAGGGCTGGTGGTGTCAAACTGCAGACCTTGTCCTTAGCAGCCCAATTTGGAACCCACTAGGCCACCAGACGGCCCTACCAGGGCTCCTGCTCAAGTTCAAATTGCACCATCGAGGGACTGATGTCACCAAACTTCCCTGGACCAATAGAGCTGGCCTCACCCTGTCAGGCACTTTAAGGACCTGCACCCTGGGACCCATTAACTCCTTTTTTCAATGATTTCAAAATTTCTAAATAATACCCTTAGAGCCACTATCAATTCCAATTTACATTGTGTGGTGAAAGTAAAATGGATTGCTTCCCATGATGGAAGAAAAATTATATTAAAAGTGTGGCTCTTTTTATTTCCTTCTTGACTACTTGTCATTAAAAGTGGATCCAGGTTTAGACAAGAAAGGTTGGTTATAGGTGCTCTGAAGAGCCACCCTTTCTCTGGCTCACCCATCTTGGCAAGAGTGGCCACTGCCCCTAGCTTGCATAGTGGCAAGAAGAGATGGGTGAAGAGAAGCATTTGTCACCTGTCAGACATGACTGTCAATTTCCACAGAGAAGCCCTTCATCTCCCACCTTGACTTCTTACCTGTGTGTTCCTCAGGCTGAATGGTGACAGCAGACACACCCACAATCACCAGGTGTAAGAGGAACATGGTTCCAGACAACTTCTGGAGAACCCCGGAAGCGGAAAGCTGAGGTCCAGCAGTCAGTAGTCTAGAGGATGAGACAGAGGGGTCACCAGGAGCCAAAGGCCCCCAAAGAGAAAACTGAAAAGTGACCCCAGGGCCAAGGTATGCAGGCTGTCTCCGGTGAAAACTTTCTTACCTGGTTTTTGGTTTGCATTTACCAAATAATAATAATAATAATTTTATACTTTCTCATCAATGGTATATTAACTGATCAAGCCAAATGTCAAATCCCGGGAGCTCTTACAGACTCTTCCTGCAGGGGTTCATCTAGGGTTCTCTCTCCTGCCCAGGGAAGGAGACAAGAAGGTGCCTTTGCTCAGGGAGCCACAGTTCATGTCCTCCCTTTGCTCAAATATCACCTGCCGACCTGGTGAGCTTTTCCCTGATCTGGTTTAAAACTGCCCCACCCTCCCGCCCTCTGATGCTACTTTCCTTTACTGTCCACTGGTGTGCATGGCACCGGTCAACCCCGTCCCCTCTACAAGGTACGCCCATGTACAGAGAAGCATCCTGGTCTACTTTGCTCACCATTATAGCCCCTGCTCCGTTTGGTGAATGAGCAAATGAATGGCTGAATGACTAGAATCCAAGACCTTCTCCTATTTGACTAATTAGAAAACTTTTCCTCTGACCCCTATGGATCAGCTCTTATTCTACATGCAAGGCCAGTATGTGATTCTGACGTGCGCTAATGGATTTCTATACGTTGCTGGCTCTCTGATGTAAGGCATGCTGGGGCAAGGGAGCAAAATAAGGGCCAAATATGAATAAGTCATGCAATTTATAAAGCATTCTTCCCTGCAAACCTCCCCAAGACTAGAGTCGATGATGCCTGCATCTTTCTACAGTCCTTCTACATGATATCTAATTGCCTAGGGCATCCGCTAGCCACTGCTGCAGTAAACTGTGTAAGAAACCACCCCAAGATTAGGAGGCATAAAAGAACAGTCATTTGTTTTTCTTCCAAGGCTTGCAGGTCAAACGGAGGTTGGCTAATCTGGACTAGGCTTGAATCAGATTGACTTCAAGCTTCAGGCAGTGTCCAAGTGAGTTCCTCACATCACTCACCCTCTTTGGACCAGTGCGTTTCCTAAGAGATGGCCTTCTTGTGTAATCATAGAAGCACAGGTGGTATGAACAAAAATACGCACGGCCTCACTCACAACTCCTTCGCTCTTGTTTACCCACATCCCGTTGAACAAAACAAGCTACCTGGTAGAACCTGTCATGAATGGGGTGAGAAATGTGCCCACCCCGGTGGAAAGAACTTCAAAGTGACACCAAAACTCAGTGCCATCCAAGCGATTCTGACTCACAGTGGCTCCATAGGACAGAGGAGTACTGCCCCTGCGGGTTTCCGAGACTCTAATTCATTATGGGAGTAGGAAGCCTCAACTTTCTCCCATGAAGCAGCTGGTGGTTTTGAACTGCTGACCTTGTTGTTAGCAGCCCAACGAGTAACCCACTGCGCCACCAGCGCTCCTTAAAAAGTGACACCAGGAGAGGTTAAGAAGTGGGAAGCATGCTGCAGTCTTGTCGCTTGTGTAACTTCCCATCCTTCGCGAGAGCAGAGGCTAGGCTTGCCGACAGTCCCCATTGCCTACCTAGTGCCCAGTCCCAGAGAGTACTTAGAACACGGATGAGCAGAAGTTTCCCACAGCGAGATTAAACTGTAACATCTCCTCATTTGTTTTCTCTGTTGACCTATTTTTAATTTGTCCTACTTTTGACCGTTTTCTCCTTTTGGGGGTGGTGGTGAGATTTTTCTGTTTTATTTTGTTGTTGTTGGTGGTGGTGGTGGTGGTGGTGGTCATGGTGGTGGTGGTGGTATGGTTTTCCTTATATGAAATCCAGGATAATTTAGATAGTATCTAAATGAATAGAATTTTTTTAGGGTTCTGACAGGGGAGGTTGGAGCTGGGGGGGGCGGCATGGGAAGCTAATAACAGTGAGTATGAAAATCAAGAACACGTTCTAAAGTTAATAAAGGTGGTGATTGCACAACTTTTTAAAAATATACTTAAACCATTGAGCTGCATGGTATGTGAATTTTATGTCAATAAAGCTGTTTAAATAAACACATAAACATCTTCCAGAGAGTTGGAACAATTAAGTGAATGCAGGGCGAGAAAATTTTTAATTTTATCCCAATCATTATCCCTACTTTCCTGTTCTCTGCTCCTGGAACAGACGCCATGCTGCATCCTTTGCAGTACTCCCTGGCTGTTCTCACTGGTCAGAGCAAGGTTGGTAAATTGAGCTGCACCCTAGAAATGGGCCCTTCTCAGTCAGGCAGGAACCCATCAGACCTGTGGACTCAGGGTTGCAGTCTGAGCTCCCCCTTCTGGCAACGAGGAGCCATGGGAGAGAAAACAGAGACACTGATCGATTCCTCTGAGCTGGGTGAGGTTTTGTGCTACGTGTGTCTGGTCTTCATCCTTCGCATGTTTCTAAAGTGCAAATAAACAACCAAATTGTTTGGACATGAAGTCCCTTATGTCCCTAATGAATATACTAGCCTCAGCCAGATTTGCAAGTCCTTTAGTAAAGAAATGAAAGAAGTAGGAATTAAATATGCTATTCATAACCAACACCACAGAGCACAACAAATAAATGAAGTCAAGGATGCTGCTGCAGGGACTAGAACAAAGATAATAGTCACTGTGTTAAGTGCTGAACATAAGTACTTTCATCTCATTCTCAGGATACATTATCTCAGATTTCACAGATGATACAATAGAGAATAGCATGCAGGTTACGTGGTGTGACCAAGATCTGACAGCTAGTAAGCAGAAGTTGAAAACTAAGCTGAGAACTAGCCAATCAAAACCCTTGTTCTCCTAATGTGTAACTGTCTATGCCTGCTTTTTCCCTTCCCCAATATCTCTCCTCTCTGATTCTCCAGTAAGACAAGCCCTCGCTTTTAACTGGGCGCATGGCCAGACCAAATAACAACTGCATTTCCCATCTTCCCTTGCACTACGAATGGCCATGTGACAGTGTTTGGGCCAATGAAACCTACATGGAAATGATATTGTCTCCTGAGTCTAAGAGAAGGTTTTCTCCTCTAGCCGTCGTCCTTCCTGCTAGCTCAGTATGGATATGATGATTGAAGTATAGGAGTCTTCTTGGACCATTTTGCTTAAAACAGTGAGGCGACAACAGAGAAGGAGTCTGAATCTTTAAGGGATTTGTGAAGCTGCCCTACCCCCTGGACTACTTTCTTTTCCGTGTTTAGACCTCTTATTATTTCATCAAAGCAAATCCCAATGAATTGCAGTTCCAGAACTTCTTGGAGAAGGTGCTGCACCATCCTGCAGGTGCGGTGTTCTCGGCAGTCCTCATCCTGGGACTCCCCCGGATTCAAAACACGGTTTCTAAAAAGTCACTTCAACTCAAAGGCAGGATGGACTATGCAGCCTTCCTCCCTGAAAACACCCCTCAGGTCTAACGTTCTCTCGCGTTCGGACTTGCTGAACTGCAAGTACTGGCTTAGCCTCGGACTAGGGAGAATTAATCAACATGTTCAAAAGTACTGGAACGCCACAAAGCCAGATTGCATCCCTGCAGGTTTGTTGCTACCAGAAGCGTCACAGAGCTACAAAGTTGGACCGAATCTTACAGAAGTCTAGTCCCAACTCTTCCTGTTCCAGATGAAAGTACATTGGAGGTTGAGTGTCTTCTCAAAAATCACATAGATGATCGGGGTGATGGAACATCTCAACAAGGACTCAGTCCCAACAGGACAACATCCGAAAATGTTCAGTCCCTCAAGTAAGCCCCTCTCCTCCGCACTCCCACCTCCCCAACCCAAAGGAGTGGCCTCAGTTTCCACTCAGTGGACTTTGACAAGCAACTGCCTGGCCGTGACCTCTCCAGGAAATGGCTTCAGTTCCTTAAACCACAAACACATAGCAGAGATCGTTTTAAATCATCAAAACGCCAGGGAAAGGCTGGAATCAATGTTGCCATATTGTGGGAAATAGAAAAGTCTTTGGCAGGCCTGGAGGAAAAAGAATTAGTGCTACAGAGGTCTGTAGCAAAACACATTTCTTCTGCCCTACTTTCCTGACATGCATTTTTAAACCACAGACAACTTAATATTTCTGCTGCATTGACCTTCTTACTGGAAGAGTGAACATTTCAGAGCAGCTCAGGTCCAGTATTTTAGCTAGAGGTTTTGTTCTGTTCCATTCTAGAGCCATGCTTTCCCTGACTCACACAGAGGTTAAGCGCCCCGCTGGTAATCGAAGGGTTCACAGTTCAAACCTACCAGGCACTGATCAGGGAGAAGGAGGTGACAATTAGCTTCCATAAAAATTCAAAAAGAGCAGAACACTGCCATTCTGATTCTTAGTGACTCTAGGACCGAGCAGAGCTACCAAGTAGGATTTCACCAGCTCTTGATGGAAAAAGACGGCCTCATCTTTCTCCCAGGGAGCAGCTGGTGGGTTCCAACTGCGAACCTTGCCGTAAGCCGCTCTCTGTGTAACCACGACACCATCGGGGCTCCTTGAAGATGCCAGCCTTGGCATCCGATGGATAAATATGGGTCCGAGTTGACTTCAGGGCAGGGGCTTGCTGGCTAGTTAGTTTCTTTGAATGGAAGAAAGTTTGTTTCTTTGAAAAGCAGGGCCCGGGCTAAGAAAATGGATGCCAGAGGAGTAAGGGATGTGAAGAGCTGGAGTCAGCAAGAAAGAATCCAGTGGGAAAGAAAGGCATTCGCCAGGCGCCGAGCCAGGCCGTGGCATGTGATAGCCTGGGAAAGCTCTTCCTAAGGCCCTGGGTCACCCTTCCCTGCCAAGGGTCAGCCTTCTGCTCATGCAAATGAACTTAATTCTGGGGGTGGTGCACAGGGTTAATTCACTGGACTGCCAACAGAAACCCTAGAGGTTCAAATCCACTCCAAGGCACCCCTGGGGGAACCTGGCGATGGACTTCTGAGAACTCCCCTCACTGTCACCAAGTCAATTCTGACACCTATCGACTGCACAGGGCCAAGTAGAGCGGCTCCTGGGGGGCATC